CTTATCAATATGGAGAAAATATAGCAAGTGAAATATTTAATATTAGTGGTGTAATATTGCTTAACAATGCATTGATATGAGAAATTCAGCATTAAAAACACAGTTTTAATTCTTTTTCCTAGTTCAACCTTTCAAACCATCCGTAGTTCCAGCCCAGCTGCTTACAGGCTATATCTTGTTGTGATTGAGTCTGCAACTGTAAAGTTAGCCCTCTCGTTTAAATGCAGTTCTATTGATGCCTATCTTGGCAAAATCCAAGTTATTTACAGCCATTACCATGGTGAACTTGTTTATTACTGAAGTGATAAAAAGTACTTCAGAATGTTGAGTCTGAAGTATCATTCATATCATGTATATAATCATATGTAAGCTAAACACTGGAGGTGCTGTTACTGAGCATTTCGGACTGATATATAGTTGCTGGATTGATAAAAGTTGCATGGCATTGCATCCTTTCAAAGTTTTCTTTGAACCATAGCCTTGCGTATTTGCCACACATACTGATGTGTTTCCTGTGGGGCTGTTTTTCTTGTAGCCTCATCTTGAAAACTGCCTGTTGCTGCATGTCTCACTACAACAGCATGTCAGTCAAACTGCCCTTTCCTGTCAAAGTGGATGGTTCTTGGCCACTTTGCAGTGGGATGAAATGCACCAGAATCTGTGACACTAGGCAGATGTCCGGCTTGTGAGACTAGGTTCATGTGAACCTATAATAAAAATAATGATATTGAATAAGTGAAGGTAAGAAATACACTCTGATTAACCACATTTGGCCACTCATATAACTATGAGCCATTGAAGCAAATGAGACAAATGTGGTTAATCATGATTAATCATTCGACAGCTCAATTTAATATCGACCATTAAGAGTAAAAAAGGTTAAAAAAAAAGAGGTCCATTATTTGCTTTTTAAGCAGTAATTCTATTTGGAGAGCTCCACCGTACACGCAGGCCATCATTCTAAGCAATTATAAGCTGGTTATCATGGCAGACGGTGTAGTGCATGTCTTAAAACACACATTACCACAGCTCTTGGAACAAAAACACTCTTTACAGCCAAATTAGGTTTATCCACTGTAATTTACACGAAGCCTGGAATTCCTTGAGACCATTGGCCTTTGATCATTAGCATTCTACTGTGACTTAAAAACATGGCCAGAGAAGTTGTTTATATATGAAAACAGATCAGTTTGCCTAGTTTCTGTTTGATGCAGCGTAGGTCATAAGCAGCAGTCGCTGATGTTTTCATAAAGCTTCGCCCACTAAGAGTTTAAAGTCACTGTTGAATCCTGCTCGGCTTGAGCTTGCTATTTATCTCCAGCTAAATGTTAACATGAGTTTGGAGTATGAAGTAAGTGCCACTGATGCAGGCTATTTAGTTGTTTCCTTTCTTATGTCACAATGTGTTTGCTGAATATGAAAGGCCATATTTGACAGAGATATTGGAAGGCAGTCATATTTTCTGGTTTAGAGCTTGAATATGATCCCTTTGAGCGACTGATGAAAATACTAGGTGGGATATAAGAGTCTGGTAGTAGCTCTCATAGCCTCAGGTATAAATCAGTTGGCGGTGAAAAGATTTCCATAAAACGTGGAAGCCCTGGGTCCTCTAGGGCAACAGTTGGACACCCCTGCCCGAGACACACTGAATCTGCGCCTCCTATTTGACATACCTGTGGTTTGAGCTGGGGAAGCAGTGCTCAGACAGGCCCTTGCTCCAAACTCTCATCATGGCGAAAGCAAAAAATCTTTTTCAGCCATCAGCTGGGTCTTTGCTTTCCAGTTTTCCATCTGTAATGACTGCATGTGGGGAAACCAAGGTCTTTACTGTACGTGCTGTTGACACAGGCCCAATTAGAATGTTGCACAATGGGCAACAAGCAGAACAAATCCTTGCAAAGCAGAAACTCTGTAGGAGAATTGACTGACAAGTTGTGCTAATAATAATCAGGGGTGTGAAGGAATTAGACATAATGGGTACATTGCTTAAACTCATAGTGATTATTCCTTAAGTACTGATGGGGATTGTTGAAATGGACAATCAAGCTGGTGGTTGGATGCAGTTAAAGTGGGCAAAATGATGGGAGAAGAAAAGAACAGTTTGCAATGCTTCCACACCACCCTCCAGCTATGCTCAGCAGAATGCACAAACACTGCGAATGGGAAAGAAATAAATAACTTCTAACCTCACGCCAGTCTTAGTTTCCTCACTTCTCCACGCTATGATAGCAATCAGGTATGAAGGGTGTAGGCCGGGAAGGGGACGGTTTGCCAATTTACTGTGAATGTCAGGTTACTATAAACACATCCAAACTGTATACCATATGCCTGCATGTATGTATGATGCGGTTGGGTAAAAATGTGTACGATTTGTTTCCTCATCCTATGTTGACTAGGAGAAGGGAACTTGAGACTCATATATCATTTTTGTTATCATTGAAATAACCCTGCAATTACCTTGTTTAAAAAAAACACTTTTATAATCTTCTTTGTCAGCGTCAGCTATGCTCGAGATGCCGTGCGGTCTTTGATATTTGCTTAGGGTTAACTTTCCTGGAGGCACACACCGAAACATTGGTTTTGTTCTAGCAAAATATGTAATGACAGAAAGAGATAGACTGTTTAGTTTGGACAACAATATATCCAGTACAGTATAAACATTGTATGTCTGGAAAAAGTCACAGAGCATGTTGATAGTTTGATAGTAAGGGTTGTGTTAGATTGCCTCCTGTTGTATTTTTATTTCCAGAGTTCATCATTTTTTTTAGCCTAGTGGAAAAGGTACAATGTATCGCTTGTTAAAGGTTTTCACAATAATAGCCTTTGCAATACTGATATCGCAGAAAGCTGCAATATACAAATGAACCCTCTAACCAGTCACAGTCTTTTTTACTGTGTACAGTGAACACCTTGACCAATTACAGTTACAGAAGAGCGTCCTATTTTTTTATTTTATTTTATTTTTTTTTGTAGTGGTGAAAAAAGCATTTTATTTTATTTAACTGGTTCTTAGTAGACTGACCACATCTAACATGCTAACAGGCCAATAATATTCAAAGACAAGACTTAAATTTCTATATTTGCATTAGGACTCTTTGTAAAACTCCAACTTCCAAATTAAAAAACATTACCTGAACATCTGTTTGAAGTTTCAAATATCTGTGTTTAAGCCAGAGCTTACATGCTAATGCCAGTGTTTCCCCTACCCCTCTTAAACTTAAGAAACTTAATAAAATGACAGAAATATTCTGTGCTTTATTTCTTGTCTGCATGTTCCTTTTATCAGCTTAAATACCTTTGTAAGGTTGCAGTGCTCTATGGGATTGCCACTTTGATTTTTCAGCTCATTTCCATATGGACTTAGGAGAAACTGGCACATCTAACTGGATGGACTGAGTGAGTGAGTTATGTTGAGTTGAACGTGTTCAACAAGGCTTGAGGTTTGGTGTAGTCAGGAACCACTGCATTGACTCTCAGGAATGGCTCATAAACTGGTTTTGGTCTCACTCAGTTAGGAGTCTCTCCAGCATGGAACCCAAGAGGTAGCATGCACACAGCTCAGACACATACTAGGAAGCTCTAGGCTTCAGACTACAGGGAGAAAATATAAGTAAATTCAAAAGGCTTTGATATACTTAGTGACAACATTTGGCGAACAATACAATGTAATTGCAGAGGAAAAAACAACCACTGATGTGCGGAGGCTTCGCACACCATGTCAAGCACAGAGCAGCTGGGCGAGCTTGACAGACAAAGACACTATGTGACAATGTCTGTGATTGGTCGATGCATAAGAGGCATGCCTTCATGCAAAGATGGATCAGCTAAAACTAAACAACAGTAAAGATGCAAGCTCAATAGCTCATGAAGGTGGTTTTGCTTCATTATTACAGTTGCAGATTAAGGGGATGCATGAGAGAGTAGCCTGAGAAAGGCTGGTGTGGGTTGGCACAGACACGCAAAATAAGATCAATTTAGACTTTACGGACACTCCATAAAGTTTGCTTTACGCTGTGCGCCTCTTTGTACGGGTCTTGATGTTCTAAGATTGATTAAACTTTATTGATTTTTTTGTACTGAGCTTCATTACAGGTCATTTAACTCTGCTTTAAAACTTTACTGCTGACATCTATCAGCTTCATGGCAGGTACTTCTTATCTCATATAGCAAATACATCTTGATTGCTGTAATCTCACCTCTCAGAGCAAAATTAGTCTGATGTTTCAACCAATAGTCATCTGTATGTGATATAAATGCCATCCAGTTTTTTGAGAGCTTCAACAAAGTGGTTGGAGGGATCAGCAGATTTCAGTGCAGGACCTTGTTCTGTTCTTTCTCGCACAGTTCCTAGCATGATATTTTCTGAAGCATTGTGGTAGGTCGTCCAGCTAGGCCTGATACCCTATCTCGGCATGTGATATTTAAAACTTGGCTCCAATCAATAGCGGTGTCTCTCATTTGCAGCTATTGTGTGCGCCCAAGGACATTTTCCTGTAAACTGGACACTAAGGAGTTTACATTAGGAGACGTGCATTGTGGAACAGACTGGTTGTTACTGGCTCCTTTGTCTTCCATCAGCAACACGATCCTGCTCGTAGTCACTGCGGTTTTGGGCTTTCAGCGGCTGTCTCAGCTCTACATTCAGGAGTTAAGCTCTGAATCAAATCAGTGCACTGTTCACATTCAAAATGGATTTTTCTGGAAACGTGGCTGGGGTTAGCCAAAGTTATAAGAATGACTATTTCTTGATTCAGTGAGATTTTTTGTGAATCAGTATAAATTTTTCTGACAGATCTATGACTAACAGCAGTTCAGCTGTTCAGCACTGCCTCATGTCTTTTGATTATGCGTTGTAACTCTGTGGAAAATTAGATTTGAAAAAAATATATACCTTGTAAGGGATATCTTCTTTGCTTCTTGTAGTAGTCAGCTAGTGAGTGAGCACTCTCCATGCCATGACTGTCCTCTATAACCAGTTCATGTTCTCTCATGTGTTTCAGCTAGCTATGTTTATCCAATCTGCAAGGGCTGCTCCGTGTGTTCGAAGGACAACGGGTGTATGACGTGCCAGCCCAAGCTTTTCCTGTTCCTGCGGAGGGAGAGGATAAGGCAGTATGGAGAGTGTCTCCATGTCTGCCCCTCAGGATACTATGGCACCCGCGGCCCGGAAATCAACATGTGCTCAAGTAAGACACCTCCCCATTATGGCATGAGTACGCTAGCACAGGTAGGTGCATGAATGATCTTTCAGAGTCAGACAGGTTTGACTGAATGTGAAGCAGAAGCTACTTGGTCAGCATGCCACTGGACTCGAACAAGAGTGATTTGGAAATGATCCAAATCAAATGCAGATTAAAACTGCCTAAGGCCAGCTTCACATGGCAAACATTTATGCAGCTAGTTGCATGTTGTGAGTTACATGCAGAATATTTTCTGTGCAACTGAACAGTCGACACAAAGCAATTCTAAAACAATAAAAGCTGCATGTAACACATTCAATTATTGCACCAGTTAGCCAAATAAGTTGCTTGTATTTTCTGATGCATCGAATTGTATATGAAGTTGTCTGCATATTTGCATATTGCATATTTGTAGTATGTCATCTATCTATCTATCTATCTATCTATCTATCTATCTATCTATCTATCTATCTATCTGTGGTTCTTTACTATATATTTGACATTAAGCCTAGTTTAAAATTAAAGTTAAATAAAGTTTGCATATACATCATATATTCTGTCCTAGAAGCATGTCCTTCATTGAGGAACATATCTTAGTCCCCTCCTTTATAATAATTGTCATTATTAGGAATTATTAGAAAAGGAATTTCCACTCTGAGTGAAATTAGGGGCCATAAATCATAGGTCATAATGACTGGAGGTTAACAAAGAAGAATCACTGGAACTTATTTTATGAAGTTTAGACGGCTGCAACTGTTGAGTTTCAAGACGCTTTTCATTATACAACTCAAGAACTCAAGTAAAATTTAGTTTCATGAAAGTTTCACCGCCTAAAGATCAAGGAAACTGCTGACAAATCCTTGTCAAATGCATTTCAGGCAAGTGTTCTAAGCAAGGCTTATCTTCCAAATACAAAAGTACAGTTGATTTTTTATTTGTGCAGTGACTAAAACAAATGAAAGGCACAATTGGATTTTAGATGTCCAGACATCATGAGATCTTTAAAGACATCTGGATCCAATGCAGCTTGCTGTGGAGTCAAGAGGAGTGGAATCTGATTGGTTCCACATACAGATGGAAGTGATTGACAACTATGTTGTTTTCCAATATCCATTCATAACATTTAGAGTTATCCCTGGTTGGTTATATGATTCTTTCAAAGTAAGCAACTAATTTCACCCTGCAATTGACTACTTCCTTGTAAGAGTAGATTAATTTTGCTATCCATTCAAACTGATATGATAACTCTAGTATTGTCTTAACTCATTGTTTCTCACATTTATCAAATGTATCAAACTAAGAAGTTTATGTTCTATAAAATACATTTACAAGGACATCAGTACTACATTATTACTTTTACTCTGATAGGCTACATTTGGGCTTCAGTAGTGTTGTGATTTCAGAGAATGGCAACATGAAAGTATTTATCCAGTTGCTGTGCTCGAAGATTTTATTACTGAACATGACAAGTACACCAACTTTAAAGCCTTTCTGACATAATCATGCCTCAGGATTGTTTTGGTTTCTTAACTTGAAACAGACAGCACCTTTGTTAGCACACTCTTTCAATTTTGTTCGGAATAGTAAGCCAGTGGTGGCAGGGCATAACAAAATTTTCAAATCACTTGAAATAATACAGAAAAATGATTACCAAAATTGTCCCTCTCCTCTTCATCCATTGACCAGTATCATGACCTTATTTTAACATTTGTATCTGGCCAGATACACTCTAGGCTTTGTAGGTTTAGAGGAGAGCCTGAGGTGTTGGCTCAGTCTTTCATGTGAAAATAGAAAAGAACTTGAACCCACCGGGCTGTGCGAGCCAAGCTCCTGACAGACATGGCTGAAACGGGGCCCCAGAGGAGTGTGTCAGGACCTCCAGGCCCAATAACCCAGACACACTGCAGACGCCCCAGAGAAAAAAGTCACTTCCCTACTCCAGTAACAAGGTTTCCTTCCAATTTTAGTGAATGCTGAGAAATAGGTGGGAAATATGACTAGGATAACTCTGTGGTTGTAAGCAAGTGGTCTAAATTGAGGTTGCTCACCCTGTGGAATAGCCTGTAACCTTGCTACACTTACACGCGTGAACAGTCCCCACAATAGAGGAGCGTGTTGAGGAGAATGAGCCTTCGTGGTCCATCAGGGAGATCACATCAGGGAAGGAAAAAGACACTTTGTTCTCTGACAGATTGCATTTTTTTCTGGGTCTTCCACCCAGTCCTTGTCCTCTGTGAATTTTGACTTTAAACAAAACTGATGTGTGGCAAGTTAATCTGAGTTCCTTTTGGGTAGAACTTCTCCCAGAACAAAACCTCACATTGTCACGTACCATCAGATCTCAGCACAAAGCCTACTTTGATGTGATCGCAATTTCAGTCATGACTTCATAATCCAGCTTCGCATTTGACCCTCCTCCTTATGTTACGCTCTTTCTGTCATCTTAGCTAAGCTGTTCATGTCTGTCAGCCATAATGGGATGTTCTATCGAGGCTAGTGAAAAAAGACAATCATTGGGTCACTGGAAGCGATTTTCAGAATGACACTCAGAGCAACCGTTACAAGATGCTTCTCCTCTATCAGCCGTGCGTAGATCGGCCTTGCTTATCCGAAACTCTGGAATGCCACATTACGCCGACTCGGTTATGTTTTCAAATAACAGGCTCTGAATTCACTTAAGGAGCAGCTGCTTATTATTACACTCGAGTGTGTCTGTGTGATCTTATCTCATTGAAAAATGCTTTGCAGGCTGCCAGGCTCAAGCAAAAACAAAAATGAAGGAACGGCAGGTTCACACTCTGTCAGCGACTCTTTCTTTGGAGCCAGAGGGCCAAGTTGTGCTTTGAAACCAGCCCAAGTTCACATCCAGCAGATCGAATGCTCTGTGAGTGTTCTCTGGCGAGCATCATCCTGATGACCCTTCTCCACAGGCACAAGCTTCACCCATGAGGGGAGTGTGCGAGCGGGTTCTTCCAGCCACTCTCTTTCTCCTTATGTGGGAAGATATGGGCCAAAGCGAGGGGACTATATGCTGCCACTGAAGCTAACCAGATAAAGGGATGGAGCAGTAGACGGAGAGAGAGGGAGAGATAAAAGTTGGAAAAGGGGCTCAGAGGGAACGAGAAAAACAGTGAGCTGGTACCATCAGTTTTTCCACAGCCTTGTCAAGTGGAAGCCCTCCGCTCATCGATCTCAAAGCCTCCCTTTTTCCTCCTTGTCCTCCCAAATGACTTCCTCCACATTTTAGCTGTTTAACAAACACTGTGTCAACCACACACAGTGGTTTGTTTTTATACAATGTCAGGACATGATGTATGTCTGATATGTAATGATTTATATATAATAAAGATTTTCAAAGCCTAACCCTAATCCTAACCCTAACTTTAACCACAGTAATCAATAAGAAATGGATAAAAACAGATAGAAAAGTACAAGTTATGATCGTTTTTTGGCCCTGATATTGTAGGTAAGCCCTGCTTTTCTCTTCTTGTTGGAACATTTTTGTCCTAAAGAAGTACAAATACAGTGCCCTCTTAAAAATAAATGTACCAAAAAAGTTATATGGAGTGGTGCCATAGAAGAACCACTTTTGGTTCTCCAAAGAACCTTTTAGTAGACAGTTCTTTAAGGAACCATGAGATGTGCAGGTTCCAAAGAACCTTTTTGAGGTTTGAAGAACCTCCACATAATGTAAATGTAATGTAGGAATCTGAGAGAGTGGCTGAGGTTGTACTGAACTGGGGAGCAGTAAATGCAGAGTCAGATACTACCAATAACTTTAGCAGCAGTCTTCAAGAGACTCATCAGCTCATCAGCCAGTCCTGGAGGACCCCCAGACCATCTACATTTCTTTGCTTTGTTCTAGCTCCCAATCTACCTGAACTAAGCATTCAAGGACACTGAGCGTGTGCTTGTTCTAGAAGTTGCAACTGAGTGAAAATGTGGACTGTCGCAGGGTCCCCCTCAACTGGATTGGAAAGCACTGATCTGCTTCATCTCTCTCATTTCTATGGGCGTAGGGCTGCAATAAGGAGAGAGGCATCACATATGTGAGTAGGCATTGAATACTGTAACCATCATAAACATTGACTTTATGTTTCTAATATTCTGTTCTGGCTGCAAGTCATGAACCATTCAACATTAAACATTTTGTACAATCTGAATCATTGATTCACATTAAACAATCAACACTTCCTTTCAGCCCTTGAATGGCAAACTGGTAAAATCAGTGCCTAATAAACTGAAGTGCATCCCACGGCTCATAAAAAAGAGTGCTGCTGATGGCTGATGGTGATGATAGTTAAAGGGGATTGCAGCTGGCCTAATTCCCAGGGAGCAGAACAATAAGTTGTATTTGTTTCTGTATTGCAGAGTTATATATTAATTTTGACACGCTGCAGTATTACGCTTTCCAGGAGCTCTGTCCTAAATCTTTCACAGCTAGACTCAGTGAGCCTCAGCGAATTAAACTAAATCTTCTTTTTACAAATTTTTCGATGCACTCAATGATAGACCAAGCAAGTTTTGAAAGTTAAGACATCATAGGCCTGTTACACTGACAGCCTACTTTGTCTTCATTGTGGAACACATTGTGCCCAGATATTCAGTGAAGTCCACACTTGCTCCCTTCACAGCATGGAAAGCTTTTTGAGGGAAGCTTTTGATTGGCAATATCCTGGAAGTGTGGTTCAAATATCACAGCTCGTCCAGGACTAGCATATGTGCCACATGAGAGTCCTCTTGTCAAGAGTGATTTTTTCATCCCATTTTTTACTGCTTTTTATTGCCTCTTGCATTGTAAAATCTGTTACTAAATACCATTGCTGTATTTCTTGCCACTTTCTCACTGTTTGTAATGAGGAATGCAGGCGTTTGGACCAGATCCATCCTCTGCCCCTGTCCTGTCCTAAACCTCTGTATTTTTTAAGGGACATTTTGGGAATAAGTTGGAAGCAAGTCACACAAACTGCCCAATACTCAAAGTGGTACCCAGAATCCATAAAGGA